TTTACGGATTGAAAAGAATCGGTGAATTTTAGACGTAAAGCAAAAGATTTTAGTAAGATAAACGAAATCTGATCAGATGACGCTGTGAATCTCCACGAGAAACATGCAGGCAGGTTTTGTATTTTGTTCTTACAACATAATTGATAAATACAAAGGTACTCTTCCAAATTAAGTACCCCCTTCAAGTTGGAGGGGGTACTTGGAGGCTCCAATTAATATACCCTTCTGAATACCAAACCCCCTACCATGGCCTTGTATCGACGATACCACCCTGTTCCATACTAAAAATCAAGTCAGTTGTTTTCCTATTAAAAAATACTCTCCGACTACTTTAGTCGAAAGTACACGTTAGTAAGATTTTTAAATAATCGTTTTAAGACTATATGTTTTTCTGACACGATCATTTTTCTCGATTTTCGATGCTTTTCGGCGGTCAACCATGATCTGCGACTCTCATTTTTATAATATGGTTGAGAAGTGTTGAATAATTTTTTAATATTTTTTTAAGATAACGATAAATTATTTGATTTTCGCAAACATCCGAAATATATTTCCAAGAAAATTAGCATGGAATTTATTCCAAAAGTAAATTTCGTGTAAGTCCACAAAATGCTTTCGCTGTAATAAAAATGCGTGGATGGCATTCAGACGGAAAAAAACCATCAAAAATTTAATTTTTTTTCGTCTGAATGCCATCACGGTAAAATACAGTTCAAAGTTCAAAAAGTCTCTCATAATTTAAAAACTTTACTGTAGTACTACCGAATGATTACACTACTACTACTACTACTACTACTACCGTGATTTGATTGGCCGGGATGGCATTCAGACGATAAAAACCATTAATTATTTTATGGTTTTTTCGTCTGAATGCCATCCAAGCATATTTTATTACAGCAAAAGTTCTACAAGTTCGTTGTCGTTGAGTAATAAAATATAGCGAGGATGTTTTTCAATGTAATTTTAATTTTGTTTTGGACGAAAATTGTCGCTCTCAAAACCTACCAGTCACACCTATGTAAGTGTCGCTGCTTAAGCCGAGCAGGACACCGACTTCTGCAGTAGCATGCTCACATCCGAGTACGAGAGCGATGTTTTCCGTTGTTTGTTTGAGGGGTGAATGAACAAAGGTAGAGTTCTATGTTCTACAGCATCGTTACGCTACTAGTTTCTGAGAAGTACACTGTTAACGTTCCAACAGTAGGAAGCAAAAGAGCTCGCCGAAGGAGACTTAAGCCTGGTTGTTGGAAGCGCTCGTCGACGTCGCTGAGCCAGTCGACGCTGATCCCGTCACACCCGGAGAGCTGGCAGCCGAATCCGAGGTCGAAGCAGCGGTCGAGGATGACGTAGACGACGAAGGCGATGACGAGCCGGCGGAACCGGCAGGCTCAGAACCAGCGGACGACGAAGCAGACGAGTCCGAGCAAGCCACGGACTTTGCAAGCAGCATGCTCACATCTGCGTAGCTGAGACCAATGCTGGTCACCGTATCAGCAGCAGGCTTCTCCTTAGGGAACCAAATGAAATCAGGGTGGTCATCGTCCGATTTGTAGACCCACTCACCACCGATGATGGTTCCATCGTCGTCCATCTCAAGCAGGTACGTGTAGTAGGCACCCGTCGTGAATTGGTCCACTTGGCCGGAGGACACCAGGCCACCGTCCGTGTACGTCTCGAAGATCCACGATAGACGCGACTTGACGTACACGATGCTCTTTGCCGCGGCGTTCCACGGGTATTCCTCGAGACCGTAGAAGGTCTGGGCAGCCTCCTCGAGCGACATCTCAGTCTGCTCGTACACCTTGAAACCACGCACAGGCTGGTTCCACACCTCCGAACCGGCGGTGACGTCCGCGATGAATGTGGCGTTCAACTTACCCAAAAGGTTGGCGGCGGTGATGTGGAAGAAGGCAGGGTTCAGATCACGATAAGCGGCGCTCGAGTGGCGGCCGTACTCGTCAGTTGAGTCGCTACCACCGTTAAAGCGGGAGCCCGTGAACACCGTCGAGATCGAAG